TGCCCGGCCTCCCCGGCCGGTCCACGGCAAGACCACTTTGCTAAGCTTGCCTTGGCGGAACTTTTTTTTTCGCTTACCAAATTTTGGCGAGACTTTTAGATCTGTCTCGCCCCTGGAGTGGCGAGAAGTCTGACCTTTGGGGATTTGTAGTGCAGATTTCAATTTTGGGTAATTTTAGAAGAACGAAATCCTGTACTGGTAGCTGTTCAAGATCGTGTCCAAAGTAAACATTTTTAAGTAAGCTGTTTCGTCCCAGAATGTGCCGAACAGCCGCAGGCCCTGCCATTGTTCTGAAAGATTGCACATACCCCACACCACTCCAGTTTATTACGGCTGTTTCCAAACCTTCCTCTATGGAGGAGGTCCTGAAGTTGGGTTGTCCTCTCTTTCCCGTTGCAGCATTTGTCATATACCTACTAAAGATGGAAAAAGAAACTGAGGAATGAAATCAATACGGGAGTATTTAATTATTCCAAATGCGACTTACCCAAAACAATATCGAAATGCACCCTCATCGCGGAAGATTTTCTAGTCTTGTGAACACAAGTATCGTTCCAGCCGTTTTCTAATGTGTGGAATCACCCATCGATTATCAACAGCCATGTCGAAGGCATTTGCATGAATGGTCCCGGTCGTCGTCCGGTGAAAACTCCTCTGTTTGAGATCACTGTACTGTCTTGCAAGCAGAATGGATATCCTTCCTTGCAGGGTCCGTTTTTACGGCATCGTAATGTTTCGTCTTCCTGACATGGTTTGTGAATTTGCCACTTAATGACCAAATCTCTTAGCTCGACGTCGTCTTGAGGTATTTCAGTCGTGATAATCATGGCATCTACTTGGTGTGAGGTACCTGGAACGTCTCTACGATCTATGAAGAGGACACCATGGAAATGGGGATTGCCTAAAATTGCGAATTAAAAAAAGGTTGTTAACACATTCTGTAATAGTGCAAAAACAAATTGTAAATTATCATTCGTCTGATCTTCGGTGGCTGAGCCATATCAAGTTCTTCTTCCAAGAAATTGTTTGTCGAGAAAGTCATCGAAGTATTGGTCGTCGAATATCTGCCAGCCTCTTGCAATAATGTCTGGATTGTTGGACTATTCCCGAGGAGGAGGCACGTTTTCCCGCTCAAGTTTTTGAACAACCCAGGGCCACACTGGGTTGAATTTCATCTTATGTGGCCTCCTCAATGTCCCTGTCAATTGCCATGCAGCGTAGTGTCAGTGTAGCGAGAAGGTTTGAACCCCCGCTCAAAGATCTTTACACACAGCATTTGCAAGAAGAACTGCACTACCAACTAGTTAATCTGATTTACTACTTCCTTAAAATGATGATCAGTGTGGAGCTCCTTGCCATGGAAATGTGCCCAACCCTCTGTAATCTTTCCTCAGGTAAATAGACCGTTGCAGCACCTTCACATTTCCAGGTGAGAATTTCAAGATGTGAATAGCTTTATCAGCGTACACAGCAGTCCAGTGAGCGGAGCATAGATTGTAATGTTTGAACACACTCCTTAAGCAAAGAGAGGGAAAAATTTAGTGAAGATCCAGAAGAGGAACTCCACAGAAAGGAAACAGAAAAAGTATAATATTCTAAATTGTACATACATCAATACTGAGATGCGATGTAGAAATTTGGCTTGACAGAATCTGAATCCTATGTAACACCATCTATGTAAGCATCCCATTGGTGACTCCCATCAAGAGCAACACCGTTCGTCTGAAAATTAAGATTCCAAAAACTATCATGATGCTGAAAAATGATAAAATATATCAATTATATTTCTCACCTGCTGTACACTGAAAAACATCTTCAGTATTCAAAGCAGATTCAACACAGGAATCATATTGGCTTTCTAGCGTTTCAATTACATCCCACAAGGTGAAGAGGTCACATCATCTTTTCTGTAAACAAGGTAGGTGTACGCCAGACAGTGGCGGGTGATTCCGTGCGTAAAGGGTCATTTTGGATGTACCCAATTTTTTTTTTTTAGTTCAACTTTAGGGGCTAAATTTGGTGTATATGGCATACATAGTACCCCACAGTACCCCTCTGAGCGTGGCAGCGCTACAAGTTGACTTCTAATTTCACCTCCTATGAAATACGGCGGAATTTGCAGAAATAATGACGGAATTTACAGATTACGGAATTTATAAAGCGAAATGTTTAGTCTCCTGACCCGCTGGGTTACAAGATAGGTAGAAACTGTTGACGGTGTCATTTTGAGCATCCAAAATAGCGTTTTTCAGCGAAGGTTGTGGGAACTTTCTCCCTCAGATGGAGGAGCTACGGCCCGAAATGGAATTTACATCTATTTTTACACCCTTACCGTTTTGAACAATTCTGACGGCCTGGAAGCGTCCTTTGACCGCCCCAGGTCCCGTGGGCGGAACGGGCTTCTGAAAGCGTTTTTGGCTGAGCGATAGCGAAGCCTGTTACTCCAGTGGGGTTGAAAAGTTTTTCCTGTCTGTCTGTCTGTGTGTGTGTCCGCACTACTCCTCCTAAACGGCTCGGCCGATCTCGGTGAGATTTTGCACACTTTTTGGGTATGTCCTTGGCTCGGCACACGCGAAATTTCAGTATCCTAGCTCAACTGGTTCAGTTTCTATAGCCGAAAAACACCTAAAAAACGGCGAAAAATCGAGTTTTCTGCAGGCAGATCACCTCTGTCTCGAAGGAGGGGGGGTCTGGATGGCCCAAACATCGTGTTATCTGAAGATGAAACAAGTCCATCTGGAATGAAGGGGGGGCCTGGGGGGCGGACAAGCCATTGCCTGCCGAAGGCAGGCTAGCGCCGCAGGCCAAGTTAGGTACGCCAAGCGCGGATTGGAGGAACAGGCAGCGAGACATCGCGAAGCCTGTTACGACAAGACGCGGTCTGGCGTAAACCTACCTTGTTTATGTTCTTTCGATCCCAAGTGGTCGCGAGGTTCTATAACGAAAAGGAACCCCAGTAGACCGTCAGTTGTGAAAGCAGCATAGGTCACATGGTCACACGGTGGACATTTCCTCATAGGCTGTTTCGGGTTCAACAAGTGATGATACAAAAGTCACCTGCCGTAATTTTGTAATGAATAAGTCAGGGAAGGGTGATTCCGTGCGTAGGGGGTCATTTCAGGTCACCGGGGCCTTGCGCCTGAACTGAGGTTGATTTGGTAGCTTGGTGTCGCGTCGCAACGCGCCAACCCCGTGGCGTTAGGCAACCCATCAAACCTCCCGTGCGCGCCGCATCGCCGCCGCCGGGCCATCTCGGCGATTCTGCAGTGTAGGTCCAGCAGACGACGCTACCGCGCGCCACCAGCAAATCCATCTCCGCCTGCTACCGGAAGCCGTCAGTCCGCAGCTGAGGAGCTGAGCGAACGTCAGTCCCAGCCGGCCCACGCGAGGCACAGCCCGTGTCTGACGCTCCCGCAACGCAGAGTCCACGCGTTCGCCCCGGGGTTTCCGCGTTTGCTAAAGTTAATGAATTTGGTGTCGTGCTTCGCCTCATCTACCTGCTGACTATCGTCGTGCCATCATGCGTGCAAACCCGCTCTCGTCGCCCGCAAGGTTTGTTTCCACCCAGAAGCCTCGGAATGGTTTGGTGTTGTTTGGCAGTCGATTTGACCGTGACGTCATTTTCCCACAGGGCTTCTAGTCCGCGGCGTCTGCCTGCCGACATGATGGGCTAAGTTCACGCCGTCGCCTTGCCTCCGAGTCCATGTTGCTGCCACCCATCATCACCATCCTCGCCATGACCGTCACGTTCTCCAAGATGTACTTCACGTGGGGGCCTGCCATCTGTCCCCCACCTCCGCTACGCCCCCCGGCTTGGCGTGACGTCACTCCCATCAGCTGTGAAGTGACATAGTGAAGTGATGCGGTTCGCCGCTTTGTGAAGTGAAATGTGATCATTTTTCCTTTGCCATGGACGTATTGACGCCATGTGTAGTGAAATTTTATTGTAAATAAGTGTGTGTGTGGTTTGAGGAGGCGCCCCTCAAGCCTATGTTACTACAGTATTGCTCAGTCGCTGTGTGAGTAATATTTATTTTGGTGAGTGCACTCCATTCTATTCTCTATCTTTCCTGGGCCCAGGTGGTGGTACACTGTCTCTTGTTTCTGTAGTATCTACTTGTTGTAGGACTTTGAAAGTGTTTGTCTGCGCTCAGTAAATTTGATAGTGTATCACATCTTTATTTCTAAATTTATTAGTACTCTGAAAAGGGTGTTCCAGTCATTATCTATTTAATTATAGTTTTGTGTTATTGCAACCCCTTGTTTATGGGTACTAATTGCTGTTGGAGTCGATAAATTCCTCCTTGTTTATTTTGCATGGGTTTTATGATGCTGGGGTTTTTGTTTATCTAGTTGTGCGTTTGTCTGCTAACTTAAATTTTTATTTCCTTGAACACTTGAGTACTTAAATCTTGTTGCATAGTTTCTTGCTGTATTCTGGGGGACGCCCCTTTAAAAAGTAAATATTATCAAATCAATTCTTAGTTTTGGGGTATTGTTTTCATTTAAATAGTCTAACTGGTTTTCATATTATGTTTTTTGTTTGGTGCAGTTCTTGTGTTCTACTGTCAGTGTGCTTGTTGTTAATCTTTCTATAAAGTTTTGATTTTTGCATGTAGTTCCTAGGAAAATGTGTTGACTTTATTTACTTGCTGATTTTCTCTGTTTCCGCTAATCTTGTTTACTCGAGTAAATTTTTTGCTAGTGTACCGTTATTTTTTGCTTGGTCTATTCTTGCAACTAAACCAAATAGTAGTATTAAATTAAATTCCTCGTGAATACTTATTTTTTAAACTACTCTAGTCATTACTATATTTTGGTTTATAAAAATTCTTTGGTTTCATAAATAACACTATTGACCTTTTGTGATTCAAATCATTTTATTTCAAAATAGTTGTTTGGATTGTATGTTTGGTACAATGTTTCCTTGACACTTGCATAGTTCTAAACTATTTCTAAATAATCTCTGAAATTTAAATTTTAATTGCAAAAGTTCTATAAAGTTTAACAATTCTGAGATTTATACTTAGTGTCTGTTTATCTTCAAAAATCCTATAAATAGTTTATTTACTGTTTGTCTTATATTGTTCAACGCACCAGTTCTGCACCTGTGTCTATAACAGTTTCTTTATTTGTGAATTATAACCCCATACTGCACATTTCTTTCTTTTTATTCCACTCACTGTACCCCTTTGTTTTTATTTTGTCAACCGGCTTCAAGAGGGGGAATCAACGCAGAAGAAGAACCCCGCCTTACTCCGCCCAAGATTTGTGAGAATCTGCTCCTCCTAGTATAGTCCGTGACAAATTGGCGCCCAACGTGGGGCTATCTTTACTGAAGACTTCAAGATGCATCAAGCAATTTTGATTCTAATGGAGTTAGGCCCCTGTCCTCTGGTTTATTTTGTAAAAATGTGCAGTGATGGTTTTGTTTGTTTGTTTTTGTGTGTGGGTAATGTTTTTGTGTATTGTTTTCATTTTTTTTGGTGTTTGTGAATGTGTGATCATCATGTGTGTGCAGCATCTTTGGCCTGAGGCAAGGCGTTTTAGTGAATTTTCATCGATAGTGTTAGTGTTTTGATTTGTGACTTTAAATTATCATCTTTGATAATTGCCTTTTGTTGAACTTTTAGTTCACTTTAATTGATTTCTGAACTTTGAAGGCTTTGCCTTTATTTACTGTGGTAGTGAAGAGTTAGTGAAATTATAGTAGAAATTTCAAGTTTAGTGCTTCGATACTTAGAAGATGAATGACCAACAGTTTTTGGAAGGGCAACAACCTGCGTACATGGATCACTCCGCCCTTGAAATAGACGAACTCGACCACGAGCTGACTATCCGGGGAGTGCCTCTTGAAGGCGCTACAACCCGGGCAGCGAAGATCACCTTGTTGGATGAGCATTCTCCTGAAGGCGCCGAGCCTGACGCTATTGCAGAACTTGACGTCCTCGCTGAACTGGCAGTGTTGAGGGTGAAGGTCGCTGAACTCCGCGCTCTCGTTAAGGAAGCCCAAACCAGGACCAGGACGAAGCGAGCCTGCACTCTGTATGTGCATGTTGTGGAAAGGATCCGCAGGTTGATGTTCAAGAATGCCGTCTATTTTGAACAGTTCCAAGAATTAGCGAAGAAAATCAACCTCTCACAATGTGTACTTGCTGAAGACAACCCTGATCTTATCTTTCCCAAAGTCTATGACCCTGATGAAGACACTTCGGAAGAAGAAAAGGAGTTAGCTGAACGTCAGCGCGAAGCTGAGAAAGCTGAAAAGCAGAAGGCTCGAGAAGCGCGAAGGAAAGCATGGGAAGAACATGAATCGTCCAAAGTGAAGAGTGACTCTGAATCCGGTGATCACACTGAAGCCAGTGTTGTTTCGAAGAGTGACAGCAAGAGGACCCAGAAAAGTACAAAGGAGAAGGAATCTCATAAGCAGTCTGAAAAGAAGAATAATAGAGATGAGAAGAAAATTAAAGAAGAATACAAGAAAAGCAAGGAAGATGAAAGAAAATCAAGAACAGAAGACTCAGATAGAAGAACAGAAAAGAAGAAGAAAAGGAAGAGCCGCGAAACTTACAGAGAGCAGAAACACTACAAATCTGACACTTCTTCTGATTCTTCGTCTTCTAGCTCCTCTTCCTCTTCAGAAGGTCTGCGAGTTAAGAAGAAAAAGAGTCACTCTCGAAGGAGAAGAAATCCGGTAACTTCTTGGAACTTCAAGTATGGTGGTGCGCGTTCGCAGGACTTGCATGGTTTTCTTGAAGACATTGAGGAAGCCATGGATGCCAATGACGTCTCTGAAGATGAGTTACTGCGTGGAGTTGGTGCCTTACTCGAAGAAGACGCCAAGGTTTGGCATCGGCAAAAGAGAAGCAAGATTGGTAGCTGGGATGTCTTCAAGACTCAGATTCGCAATGCTTTCACTCCTGATGACAACGATGAAGAATTGTTGGAAAAGATTTCTGGTCTTCGCCAACGAAGTGAAGAGACGTTTGCTGTTTTTGAGGCTAGGTGCGCCGAAATGTTTCAACGTTTGAATCGCCCTCTTTCTGAAGCAGAGAAGTTGCGGAAAATCTACAAAGGCCTTCATCTCTACTACAAATCTAGAATCAAGTCTAGAGATATTGACTCTCTCCGGACCCTCCGCCGAGAATGCAGAGACTTGGAAGCAGATAAGGGACAGATCATGAAACAGGAGAAAGAAGAGAAGAAAAAGGAAAAGAAGAAAGATGAAAAGGAAGATCGGCGAGACAGCAGAAGGCATCCTAGAGTTTCAGGAATTGCACAGATTGACTCTGAAGAAGATAATGGTGAAGGTGCGCCTGCAGTGAGTGCCATCCGAGTACCAGGTAGCAACGCTATTGTGTGCTGGATGTGTAGAGAAACTGGTCACTACGCCATTTCTTGTCCCAACCGTAGGTTTTGTGTGGTCTGCGGTGCTCCCAACACTTCTGCAAATGACTGTGAGCGATGCAAAGCAGCTGAATTAGCTCGCTTGTGGAAGAAGCACCCTTCACCGGAAAACAGAAGTGGAGGCTCAGCTCCGGCGGTGGTGATGTCTCCATTTTCAGTTCCGCCTCCCCCAATACCACACGCTGCTCAGAGGACCAACAACAAGCCTCAGGGCAAAGGAAAATAATTCTTGATATTGAGCTAGGAAAGGATGAGCGTGGGTACTTGGAAGTTTCTATCATGTCTAGGCCCGTGCTTGGTCTACTTGATTGTGGTTCTAGAGTCACCATAGTCAACCAGAAGGGATATGGCTTCCTGAAGAATCTTCATTTGACACTTCAACCTTCTCGCTATGGGAAGATCTACGTAGCCGACGCTGGAATCAATACAGTTCTTGGAGAGTTCACCGTGCCCTTTCAAGTTGGAAGTCTTATCCGTGTTGTGCCTGTTCTCTATGTGCCCAACATCAGCAATGCTTTAACCCTTGGATTAGACTTCTTCAAACGATTTCATCTTATTCCTGATTTCAATGAACTTCGAGTAGAAGTTTCTGGCACCACCGTCAACTTGATTGATCCTCCTGCAGATGAAGACTTTACAGAAGATAAGAAGAAACAACTTACCACTCTGCTGGACAAATATCGTCCTCTTCTGGAACCTGGACGGCTTGGACTTGTGAAAGGAGTACAGCACTCAATCAACATCGGGAATGCTAAACCTTTCAAGTTCACCTATTACTCAGTCAACCCACGAGTTATGTCTCAAGTACATGAAGAGCTTGATGGTCGTTTGCAGAAAGGTGTAGTGGAAAAGGCTGATTCTCCTTTTCAATCTCCCTTGCTTATTATACCCAAGAAGGATAATGGTTTGAGATGGGTTGTTGACTTCAGAATGCTTAACTCCTTGATTCTTGATCCTGATTCATCGTATCCTCTCCCAAAGATTAGCCCAATGATTTCATCTTTAGGAAAAGCTACAATTATGTCTACCATCGACATTTCTGATGCTTATCTTCAGATTGAACTTACTCCAGAGTCTCGTCCTCTCACTGCATTTTATGTCCCTGGAAGAGGACAGTTCCAGTTTCGTCGCATGCCTGCTGGTTTGAAGGACGCAGCAAGTCGTTGGCAGCGCACCATTGAAGAAGTTTTAGCTGAAGTTACTGAAACTGAGCCTCGTTGCATGGTGTACATGGATGACATCATTGTCTGGTCTGAAGACGAAGATTGGAATCATCATCTGCATCTCTTGGAAAGAGTTTTCATTGCTCTAACCAAGGCCGGCGTTACCATTAACCTTGCCAAAAGCAACTTTGGGAAGAAGTCTGTCAAGTACTTGGGCTATGTTGTTGATTCCGCTGGTGTTCGCTCTGATCCAGTCAAGATTGCTGCAGTCATGAACTTCCCTGTTCCAAAAACAGTCAAGAATATTAGGCAGTTTGTTGGGCTGACGGGGTGGATGCGCCGTTTCGTGCCAAGTTATGCTTCAATTGCTCGTCCTCTCTACAATAGGATGAAGAAGAACGCTTCATTTGTTTGGGGAGAAGAAGAAGATGCTGCTTTCATCAAGTTGAAGGAACTGCTGTGCAAATGGCCTGTGCTCCGAAATCCTGACTTCAGTCTTCCTTTCCGTATTTACACTGATGCTTCCTGCATTGGTACTGGAGCCATCCTTGTGCAAGAATTCGAGGATGGAGAACATGTGATTGCTTACAACAGCAGAACCTTGAAAGGAAGAGAGAAGAATTTTTCAGCTACCGAATTGGAATGTTTGGCTGTTCTCCATGCTCTGGAAGCTTTCAGGCCTTACATTGAATGCTACAAATTTGAAGTGGTCACCGATCACAGCAGCTTGCAATGGTTGTACAAACTGAAAAATCCAACAGGTCGACTTGCAAGGTGGGCAGTCCAGATCCAACAGTACAACATGAAGATAGTGCATCGCAAGGGCTCTGCAATGAAGGCTCCTGATGCTCTGTCCAGGAATCCTGCTCCTGATCCTGATGGTGCTGATTCATCCATTGAAGAAATCCCTCAAGTTTCCCTTATTGACTTGCCTCTTCCCGCTGAGATATCAGATGAATGGTACACTGGACTCATGAAGAAGGTCTCTGAAAATCCTGATTCATACTAGGGGTACGCGCCGTTTAGTCTGGGCGCGTAGTGTGGCTGAGCGATGCGAATTGACATGGTTTGTGCACTTTGGACTTTGCTTGAGAAGACGAAATGTGCATCTTAAGGACTCATATTCAGTGAACTTTAGACCAGGGGTACAAATGGAAGTGATTTTCGTTATCAGAACACCAAAAACTGCTGGGATCAATGCCAAACTCGATTTAAAAATTTTGGTCCAAAATGGGTTAAAATTCGGTTAAATGTGAGTCTGGGAAAAGTTTGAAGGTCATTTTTGAGTTCAGCACATCAAAAACTGCAGGAAACAATATAAAACTCGACTTGAAAATTTTGGTCCAAAATGACCTAATTTGGGATGAAAATATAAGTCTGGAGTCGAAATGAGAGTGATTTTCGTTATCAGCACACCAAAAACTGCTGGGATCAATGTCAAACTCGATTTAAAAATTTTGGTCCAAAATTGGTCAAAATTCGGGTAAGTGTGAGTCTGGGAAAATTTTGGAAGTCATTTTTGAGTTCAGCACACCAAAAACTGCAGGAAATAATATAAGACTCGACTTGAAAATTTTGGTCCAAAATGACCTCGTTTCGGATGAAAATATAAGTCTGATGTCTAAATGGAAGTGATTTTTGCTATCAGCACTCAAAAAACTGCAAGAATCAATGTGCAATTCAATTTAAAAAATTTGACCCAAAATCGGTTAAATTTTGGGTCTGGGGACAATTTAGAAGTCAATATTGAAGTCAGCGCACTGAAAACTGCAGGGAAACGCATGACTCTCAAATTAGAAAGTTTTGCCCCAAATTGCGTAGCTCTAGGTGAAAGTGTAGGTTTGGCATTGAAATAAATGTAGCTTTTGTGACTAGTACACTGAAATCTACAAACAACTATCTAGACTCAATTTCTGTACATTCCTACACTGTCTTCATGAAGCACCCTCTGTTATCACCAATTCCCTGATGCCACACCAATGTGAATCCCTCAGTCGAGTAACATTCAATTGCCAGCATTGAATCGCTTAATTGGTTACTCGTATGATTGGGTCACTATTCGATATCTCTTTTTTCTTAACTAATGAATTCTCAATTTTATAAGTAATATCTATGAAACATTTTGTCATTCTTTCATTGTGAACCAGTGAATAAAACAATATTGATTGGCATACGTTATCACAGTTAATATTAAGAGAGTCAGTTTAGGGTAGGCTGATCTGAACCAGTTAACGGGGACCAATTATTGTCAAATCCAGTGATTCGTCATATAGAGTCCAATGCCAAGGCTACCCAAGGCTTAATGAACCGACACAATTAATCTTACTCAGGTATGCAATACTGAGTAGTACCAGTTATATTAACTTCAGTGAAGTGAAAGGAATCGTCTCATTAAATCCATTCACTAATTCACTCACCGCTCAAAACCTGAGTCGTCTCTTTGAACCCAATATCAATTCAAACTCTATTAGGATTAAATATACACAACCATACATTGATTCTATTAATAAACACATGTTAGTACTTTTGCACTCTTGTCAGCTTGCAGCATTGCAATAGAATGTATTTCTCGAGTCCAAACTAAGTATGCCTGCTAATTTCAACACAAGTTATTTGCATTTCCCTGATTTCCTCTACTATGAGAATTAAAAAAAAAGAGGATGACACTATAGAAAATGAAACAAGTAGATGCCCACAATACAAAAGGTCAAAATAAAAACATTCTTTTTACACTGCTCTGTCAAAGTGCACTGACCTGAAGAAGATTCCCCTCGAAAGGGGGAGGGGGGAGAGGGGAACGAAACACGTAAATCATTTTCACGGCCATTCTCCATATTTCGCTGTGTTGATACCCTAAAAGGGTTTTAATCATTCTAGAATGTGGAAAAACTATGGCCGATCTCATTTCCAAACCCTTCTGCTCGTTATTTTGTTTTATTTGCTTATTTGCTTCTGTCCCGTATTTGAGAGCCGCGGCCGCAGGTATGAGAAATTCGTGAGTGCTGAGTGCTGCCAACCTAACCATGCTAATAACCTGATTCAAAAGTATGTTTTGAATATTTCAAACGATACTAAACAACGATTTGAAACAAACTCGTGTTGGGGGGTACTAAGGTGACGTTAAATACGAAATCTTGAAACTATAGCTACTGTAGTTGCTGAGAATCGTTGGTGAGTACAAAGTCACAGACAGACTCACGACCAGTCACTTTTCAGCGCGCCCAAACACGGCAAGGGCTTCGCTATCGCTCAGCCAATGAGAAGTTTAAGGTTCATGAAGGATACCTCTACAAGCTCATCACTGTCAGTCCTTATCTCCCTCTACGCTGGGTCCAGGTGGTTCCCCGTGAAGGTCGTGGGCGTTTGCTTTTCCTGTGCCATGATGATCCAACCAGCGGCCACGGAGGCTGGTTTAGGACGTTCAATCGTCTTCGTCTCCAAGGATACTGGCCCAGTATGCGTGAAGATGTAAAGAAGTGGGTGAAGAATTGTGAAATCTGTCAGTGCACCAAGAAGGACAGAAGAAAGCCTCCGGGATTCATGTACTCCAAGTCAATTGTTTCTCAACCACTTGAATTTCTTTCTGGAGACTTGATTGGTCCATTGCCTCGTTCCAAGAAGGGCAATACCTTCCTGTCTGTTGTTACTGATCTGTTCTCCAAATATGTTTGGGTTCGACCTTTGAGAAAAGCCACCACTGCTGCTGTTGTTTCTCATTTCGAAGACATCATCCTGAAGCACGGAGCTCCTTGTCAGATTCAAGTGGATAATGGAAGTCAGTATACAAGTCATCTCTTCAGAGATCTGTGTGGCCAATACAACATCAAGCTGCGTTGTAACATCCCTTATACTCCACGCAACAATCCCACAGAGAGAGTCAATCAGACCCTGGAGACTCTGATATGTTCTTACATCAAAGATGATCATCGTGACTGGGACCTCCATCTTCTCCAACTCACTTCTGCCCTCAACTCGTCAGCAAGTGTTGTTACTGGCCTCAGTCCTCACCAGGTCCTCTTCGGCGACGCACTCATCCTTGACGGAAGGGAGCGTCAATACGACG